GGGAGGAGGAAGATGGTGGTGGTTGTGGAGGAGGAGGAGGAGGAGGCACATTGATGGTCAGGTTGCGCAGCTACAGCTGGAAAAGCGCGAAGTTTGTGACAGAGATCTCGTTGGATGACTGCTATAGGTATCGGCCTCTTGATTCTCAGCTGCTGTGAATGATACGGTCGTTGCTCCTCCTCCTCCATTCCGATCGTGCAGACCAGGGTTATGGGAGGGGCTGGGGTTTCATAGAAGAGGAAGATGGGCATGCGAAGTGAGTGAGCTTGATCTTGTCCTTGCCGTCACCGTTCGAGCAGGAAATCTTTCAGGGCGGGCGAGCTTCCCCGTGGCAGGTGAGCCCAACTGTGGAGCTCGCGAGGAGGCTGACTCTTGTTTCTCGGCTCCAGTTTCTCTTGGCTGCCATGAGGAGCTGCTTCACTCTCTTCGGGTGACTTGACTGTCTCTGAGCTCAAAGGTTTACAGCTGGGCTGACAGCAAGTCGCTCTTTCCCGGGGTCCTGGCAGCTGCCCTGCGAGGCATCGCGCGACTGAGTGAGACAAGAGGATGCGATCTTGTCGCTCACTCTCAACCGTCAGAGATCCTCCTGGACCCTCCCAGGCCGCAAGCACATCAACCCGCCACCAAGCAAGTCGCCGTCAAGGCTGCTGCTCGTGAGAACGTGCAACTGCCGGGAAGGGAGCTCGGATACTCCTACGTTCTCGGACATCTGCCAGACTGCCCGAGCAAGACAGAAGAACTGCAAGCAGGCGACTCAGTGTTCGTTCTTCACTCACGACGTTGGTTGGCAGGAAAGCGAACCTCTCGCTCACTCCCTGCTCGCAGGAAAGAAGATGAGAATGAGGGGAGTCGTCGCTGCTTTTGGTCCTGGTCGCGTGATGGTGAGGATTAAAGACGAGATCGTGCAATGTTGGCGATCCGAGGTGGAGAAGCTGCTGCAAGGCATGACGGTACCTCCTCCTGCATTACTGCTCCTCTACATTGCTGACTCGTGGCCATGACGAGTTCAGGTGCTGGTCGTCCCCGAGACGCATCATTACCACTATCTGGCGTACTCGCAGGTCAGCGCAGCTCAGCTAGCTCGGGGCTCTGAGGCCTTGCAAGGTGGTGGAAGGCGACAAGGCGCTTGAGATCGGGTCTGACTTCGGTCGCTGTTCCGTCATCCTCGCCCGGTAGGTCGACTCTACTCTTCATCCCTCCTTCTCTTCCTTCGTTGACGAGACTTGCAGTGCCTGCGGAGATGCTGTCGGAGTCGACGTGATGCCCGAGCGCGTCGCACAGGTGCGGGAACGGGCGAAGCAGGAGGAGAAGGATGATCGCATGCAGGCACAAGCGACGTTCGGATCCCCGAACTTGAAGTTCATCACCCTTGATTGCCTCAAAGAGGTGAACCTTTCTCCTGCTCCTCCTGCTCCTGAATAGACGTGAGACGGAGAAGCTGGCGGACATCGGGAGAGGAAGGAACAAGGTGTTCATCGACATCAACGGCAACAGGTGCAGCAGCAGAAGCAGCCAGAGGAGATTTCCGAACTCTGGCTGCGTCAGGCGCTGACTGATCGAGCAGGGACCTCGACGCTGTCTTGCGGTGCATCCGCCATGTTCAGGTGCGTCTGGTCGCTCAACCTCCTCGAGTAAGCCCGCCCAGGAGCGAGTGCGACCTCAGCTGATCGTCGTCAAGAGCCTCAGGCTCACTGAGAAGATGGCGAGAGAAACTTTCACTGAGGCCTGAAGTTTGAATTCTGAGGCCTGAAGTTTGAATTCTGAGGCCTGAAGTTTGAATTCTGAGGCCTGAAGTTTGAATTCTGAGGCCTGAAGTTTGAATTCTGAGGCCTGAAGTTTGAATTCTGAGGCCTGAAGTTTGAATTCTAAGGTGTGAAGTTTGAATTCTAAGGTGTGAAGTTAGGACTTTGAAGTGGAAAGTGTGAAGAGTGAACTTTAAAGCTTCAAGCTTCGATTTGGCGTTGCAAGTGGGCGGTTGTCTCGCATAACAGATGGGTGGAACTTTGAAGAGGTTGTTCTAACATACAAGCGAAGCTCAGACAAGGAGAGAAGGGCTTGTGCTCGCTGCCTCCCCCCCTGCTGCTCCTTCATGTCCTCGGAAGGACGGCCGCAGATATCCACGAGTAGATTGATCGAGACTTGTCCTCTGGCGTTGCACACTTGGTGGCAAAAATGTGAGGAGGGAAAAGAAGAAGGAAAGACAGGCGGGACCTCGTCTTGCGTCGACCTCTCCGACGCGTCCGATCGCTTCCTGTTGCTCAGCGAGTTGGGGTGATTGAAGAAGTGAAGCTGCGCCACGTCATCAGGCTGGTCAACTTCAGTCGAGGCGGACCCGCTTGATGACGTCGAAGGAGGAGTCCAGACCCTCCGACTTGTCCCCGTTGGTTTGCGACAGCAGCAAGTCCACCTGCCGCGACGTCATCCCCCTCGCCTCCCCCTCGCCTCCCCCTCGCCTCCCCCTCGCCTCCCCCTCGCCTCCCCCTCGCCTCCCCCTCGCCTCCCCCTCGCCTCCCCCTCGCCTCCCCCTCGCCTCCCCCTCGCCTCCCCCTCGCCTCCCCCTCGCCTCCCCCTCGCCTCCCCCTCGCCTCCCCCTCGCCTCTGCTTCCTCCTCGCCTTGTGCTCGAGGTGGAGGATCCTCTCCTTCTGCTGGGTGATGGTCTTGACGTGCTTCTCGATGGTGCTCAGGCGGGTCAGAATCTCTGAGTGCGACGACGAGCTGCTCGTCTCTCTCGCCTCCTCCTCCCCCTCGTGTCTGCCCATCTCCTGTGCCGCTGACTTGCCGGAGGCGGAATTCGATTGGAGCATGAGAAGCTGGCGGTCAACGTCACGACCAGACAGTGAGGAGAAGCTCACCTTGATGCCGAAGAGAGCAGCGGCAGAGGAGGACAGCGTCTTGCTCTTCGACTCCTGCAGAATCCCCACAGCCAGCTGACGCTGATTTTCAAGTCAGCCAAAGAAAGAGGATCAACTTGTGGCATTGGAGAGGAAGAGGGAAGGAAAGGAAAAGGGAAGAGCAGAAAAAAAAAGGAAAGAAACGGAAGGGAAAAGGAGGCAGAGAGAATGGAGGAGAAGGAGAAGGAGGTAGCGGAACCTGCACATAGAGGAAAAGGTGATATCTTATCATCTTCTCAAACCTCTCTGAGCTGCCCCGATGTCACTTTTCACTTTACCTCCTCCTCCTTCACCTGAGGCAGCCGTTGGCTTGACAGAAAGTTCCGTCAGGCCCCATGGTGATAGTGTGGTAGTCGTCAGGAGAAAGGTGAACCTGCGGGGGACCTCAAGGTTGGAAGGGAAGTCGTCGACCAGACGATCTAGAACAGGAGGAGCAGAGAAATTTGGAGAGAGAAGAGACTGAGGGAAGCGGCAGGTATGGGATGGTCTGAGCTCGAGAGCAGGTGAGGACTTACAGGTGTTTCGTGCGTAGAGCTTGAAATCTTCTTAAGACCCTCTGAAAGCTCCTGAAAAGAAACTGCGACGAGGGCAAAGTTTACAACCTCCAAGGTTCTTCCTTTATCTACTTCACCTTCGCCGTTGCCGTTGGCATCAAGAATCTGGGAAAGGGAGTGAGAGAGTAGAGGACGGGCAAGGAGAAATGGAGATGAGGAACAAGGTGGAGGACGAGGCTGAGAAGGAGATGAAGAACGAGGCTGAGAAGGAGATGACGATCGCTAAGATGGAGGAGAAAGAGGAACAAGAATGAGATGAGCTCCAACTTCATAAAGAGATTGAATGCGAGATGACAGATCCGCTGACGTCCGAAAGTTTGACAACATCCTCAGCAGCGGATCGAGAGAAAATATCCCTCGCTGATCTGCCTGTCAACGCTGTAGTGCTGCTGTTTGGACGGACCTGATGAGCTTGAGACCCGCTCTTGGCCTTCATCTCTGAAGTCGCTTGTACAAACTCATCCAGTAGAACCGCAACAACTACGTCAAGACATTATGGGAGATGAAGGTAAATTCAACCAATACCGATGTTGAGCATCACAATCCCAGCGATAAGATAGAAGGAGATGAAGAAGAAGTTGATCTTCAGCCCGGTCATTGCGCTCGCTTCATCTTGCACTCATCTCACCGGGAAGTCATGCTTGAGGTCTCCTGTATTGAGAGGCCGCACGATGTCGGTGATCCAGCCGTCGCCCGTAGCGATTTGAAACATCTTAGAAAAGCGTCAGGAGCAGCGACAGGAGACAAGCAGGAGACAGTGAAGAGAGACACGGTGAAGGTCCCAAACTGATCTTGCAGGTGCTCATAACCCCCGAAGAAAATCACAGCCATGACCTGCTCCACGTCATCTCGCGCTTGCCTCGCAACCTCACCAACGGAGTAGAGGGCGGAGAAGAGAAGGAGGACGCAGAAGGCGTTGGAGACAGGGATGATGGCAGACGTGAGAGAGTTGATGATGACCCTAAGAGACTGCATCTTCTTGATCAGTCGGATCACCTGCAACAACTTCACTGCCTCTCCTGCCACGTCATCCGCCCACTCGAAAGATCCTGATCAGACGAAGCAAGCTCACTCCAGGCAGATTCTCGATGACTTGCGATAAGATGGAGATGACAACAACGATGAAGTCGAAGATCTGTGCTGCACGTGAGGTCTTACAAGGCGTATATACGATGTTTACATTCCATCCATCGGTGACGAATGGGAAAAACCAATGTGCAAACATATTCAGAGCAAGCTCCACTGAAAAGATGGAAAGAAAAACGATTTCAAAGATGTTGAAAAGATTGTCGAGATGTGACCCAGGTTGCGGAAGCAGCTCATAGTTGATTACACTACAAAGAAAATTCAAGAAGATGATAAAGCCGACCGAGAACTGAACGGTGTCAGATTCGTATATCTCTTTGCATTGAAACCGCATCCTTGCAAGGGTTCCATACATACTGTTGATCCTCTTGAGCTCCTTCATACGCGCTTCTTCGATGGCAAGGATCCACGACCTGCACGCATCTGGAGAGCTTGCCCTTAGAATGTATGTCCTGCCGCTGTTGAATCCACCAGGGGTCGTGTGAACGTGGAAGATTCGGACGTTTTCTATGGCGTTATTGAGATTGAGGGAGGAGGAGGACATCTTCACAAACTTTTCAAAGAAATGCGGATGCTTCCAGTCATTTGTCGCCCCTTCCTCTCTCTCCTCCTTCCGTTCTCGGAAATCCAGTTCATTGCCCTCATCATTGAGGGAGACATGGCTGATCTCGGAGAGAGGGATGCTGTCGATGACGGGCGACTCTGCCTCCTTGGCAAAGAAGATTCTTGTCTTACAAACACAGACATACCGGCGGCTCCATGTCATGTCCACTGACTCCTTCTCGAGAAATCCTGCCATCGCTACCTCCTCTCCATCTGGTATGTAGCCCCAGTCCCCGTCAGCCTCATACAGTGAGGAGGTCAAGGACGACAAGCCACTGCCCTTGCCCTGCTTGCTGTGCGACTTTGGCATCCGCCTGGGACCAGAGGAGAAGGGGTCTCTTCCTCCTCCCGCGCCATGCCGCGCCGACATCGCCACGACAGGCAGCGCCATGGCCGGTCACTCTGTCACTGCAGGGGGCCACCCACCGGGTAGGGGTGGAAGCAATGAGAAAGAGAGGGGATTGAGGGGTAGGGGGTAGTGAGAAAGGACTTTATGATGGGAGTGATGGGGGTAGGGGGTCATGTACATTGAGTGAGGACCAGAAGGTACTGCCCGACACTGGCGGCTGCCATCCGATGATGATCGGCAGTGACTGCGGCCGGCCCGCCGATCGGACCCGGGGCCCGACCGTCCCGCGCGGCCGGCGGTCACTGTCACCGTGACGGCGGGTGAATGAACAGTGCCGCACTGGCAGTGCAGTCGGAAGCCTCATCAGACCGTACCGCCGTCATGGTGATGTTTAGACGGAGAGGCTTCCGAGTCCAGCGCCACTCTTGATGCTATCTTGTCTTTACGAGAATGTTTACTCGCTTGCAGAAGGTAAAAAGTGCCTCAAGCAAAAGCACACAGCCCCACACACCGGCAGTTTTAGCTACGGGTCCTGCTTTGTTTTGCTTGAGGCACTTTTTACCTTCTGCCAGTAAACATTCTACATGCAAACAGTCTTCCTCACTGTCCTCAGCGGGCGCAGTGGCCGCCGAGACCGAGGCCGTGCCGTCAATGCGGCCGCGTCTCCGAGCCGGTCCCGGCGGCGGCCGCTGCGCCTCAGGCCTGCTAAGGACAGTCAGAGGAGGACTGTTTGCCGCTAAGTTCCGAAGTTTCCTCTCTCTGAGGCACTATTTACCTTATGCGAGTAAAACTCAGCATTGATGTGGCGTCGCCGCCGTCACGGGTGGTGTTAGTCTCGCAGGCTACCGCTGACTCGGAGGCGGGGGAGATTTACTGGAAGAAGGTTTTTTAAAAAGTGCCTCGTGAGGAGGACTGGATGCGTCACCTCGAGCGGTACCGTGCTCGTGCCCCCGGCGGACCCCCGGGCAGCGCCGGCTCCTTGTCGGCGGCTGCTCTTTCTCCGTCCGCGACCGTACCGCCAGCCGCGAAGTTTGTGGCGGCAGCGGACGTCTCGACTGACAGCGGTCAGTCGGATGCCTCCGGGCTAAGTGAAGATTTACTGGCAGAACTTCGGAAGGTAAAAAGTGCCTCAAGCAAAAGCTGCACAATCACACACAAAACACAAGCCCGAAAAGAACCAGCACTGGCACTGCTGGCAACCGTCAGCAGACCCGGCATCGCCAGCCCAAGCGCGAAGCCGCGCAGAAGAGCAGTAAATCTTCGTAACAGCAGCCCGGCCTAAGGGTCAAGCAATCAAGCAACAAGCAGCAGGAGCATGCAGAAGGAATAAACTTTGAAAATCCCTTAGACGCAATACCCTAAACCCTAAACCCTAAACCCTAAACCCTACTACCCTAAACCGGGCCCTAAACCGGTGTTGGTCTCGGCTACCGCTGACTCGGAGGCTAGCGAGGAGGACTACCTCGAGCGGTACCGTGTTCCCGTGTCCAGCCTCCCTCCGTCCGCTGCCCCAGGCGGAACCCCGGGCAACGCCGGCTCCTTGTCGGCGGCTGCCCTTTCTCCGTCCGCGGGCCGCCCGCTTTGTGGCGGCAGCCTCGGCGGACGTCTCGACTGACAGTGGTCAGTCGGCTGCCTCCGGGTATCGCGTCTAAGGGATTTTATTCCTCCTGCATGCTCCTGCTGCTTGTTGCTTGATTGCCTGACCCTTAGGCTGCTTGTCTGCGCGGCTTCGCGCTTGGGCTGGCGGTGCCGCGTCTGGGTGCCAGCCGCTGAGTGCTGGTTCTTTTCGGGCTTGTGTTTTGTGTGTGATTGTGCAGCTTCTCGCTGTGCGCTGTGTGCCAGGAGGTTTAGCTTGTTCCTGCTTTGTTTTGCTTGAGGCACTTTTTACCTTCTGCCAGTAAATCGGACTACCCTAAACCCTAAACCTCCTGATCTCTCGCAGCTGAAAGAGCCTTAAGCGCCGTCTCAAGACTCAACTTCTTCACTTCGAGGTCGTCACTGGCGGGATTACACTTGGCGGCCTGCCTATCGGCACCGATGGATTTCATGCTAGTCAGCTCTGAGCGAAGGTTTCTACCCTCAACGAAGAGCTCTCGAAGCTCGGGCTCGTCCAGCATGGCTTCATGTTCAAGACGCTGGTGAGGGCGAGCCATCTCCAGAAGCTGCGCTTCTTCCTCCAGGGGTCATCTCCGTTTCTCCCGCGGGTCCAGTCACAGATTCGTCGCTTTGACCTCTCTGTCCACCTGGCGCTTGAGAAATACCACCGCTGGCCTTCCTCCCGACCTGCTAGAGTTTGCGAGGTTCAAGCGGGAGCTTCCGCATAGTCGGGGAGGGGACGAGTTCACGCCCTCTGAGGGTCTACTTCCTCGCTTGGTACTCTGACCAGCCAATGTCACGGACGCTGCCCTCTCCTCATAGCCTGGACGTTCACTGCTCGAGATTCGGGCGCACGACTTCGTTCATAATGCTGGAGCGATCCTCTACCGTCGTGTGAAGGCTCCTGCACCGGCTGCAGATGGCGCGGCGATCCCACCTGCCCCGGCTGATGTGCCTGATGACGCAGAACGCCCCCCGGCTGGCGCCGACGATCGGCGCGGAGCTGGCGAGGCGTCTCCGTCCCTCACTGTGACGTCGGGTGCCTCCGGAGAGCTCGACACCACTGGGTACTAATGAGGGGTAGAGGATTTACTGGCAGAAGATAAAAAGTGCCTCAAGCAAAACAAAGCAGGAACAAGCTGAACCGGCAGGCACACAGTCCACAGCGAGAAGCTGCACTAATGGATTTACTGGCAGAAGGTAAAAAGTGCCTCAAGCAAAACAAAGCAGGAACAAGCTAAACCTCCTGGCACACAGCGCACAGCGAGAAGCTGCACAATCACACACAAAACACAAGCCCGAAAAGATATAGGATTTACTGGCAGAAGATAAAAAGTGCCTCAAGCAAAACAAAGCAGGAACAAGCTGAACCGGCAGGTACACAGTCCACAGCGAGAAGCTGCACAAACACACACAAAACACAAGCCCGAAAAGAACCAGCACTGCTGGCACCCAGACGCGGCATCGCCAGCCCAAGCGAGAAGCCGCGCAGACAAGCAGCCTAAGGGTCAAGCAATCAAGCAACAAGCAGCAGGAGCATGCAGGAGGAATAACATCCCTTAGACGCGATACCCGGAGGCAGCCGACTGACCACTGTCAGTCGAGACGTCCGCTGCCGCCACAAAGCGGGCGGCCCGCGGACGGAGAAAGGGCAGCCGCCGACAAGGAGCCGGCGCTGCCCTGGGGTCCGCCTGGGGCAGCGGACGGAGGGAGGCTGGACACGGGAACACGGTACCGCTCGAGGTAGTCCTCCTCGCTAGCCTCCGAGTCAGCGGTAGCCAAGTCAGTGGTAGCCGCCCGTGACGGCGGCGACGCCGCGGCAATGCCCAAGGACCGGCGTGACCCGACCGATGCCGGGGAGGAAGCAGGCGAGCTCGGACCAGCAGCAAGCACCCCAGGGGTGTCGAGCTCTCCGGAGGCACCCGACGTCACAGTGAGGGACGGAGACGCCTCGCCAGCTCCGCGCCGGTCGTCGGCGCCACTCGACGTGTTTTCCCCATCGGAGTCGGAGACCTCCGGCGAAGACTCCCCCTCGGGCGACTCGACAAAGTCCGAGGAGGAGCTGTCCTCTGGCTCGAGAAGTGCTTGCGCCCGCAAGGGCGTTATGCTCCTGGCACCAGACAAGAGCGCCTCCAGCGTCAGCTGCATAGTGATGCGCTGATTTGAAGCAGCATAGGATTTACTGGCAGAAGGTAAAAAGTGCCTCAAGCAAAACAAAG